ATGTGGGGTACAAGCCGGGCTCGGTGGCTCAGCCCGTAATCCCGTGCCTTTGGGAGGTTGAGGTGAGTGAATTGCCTGAGTCCGCGGGTTCAAGACCCGCCTGGGCAGCGAGACCTCATCTCTACAATAAATCAAAAATTCAGCTGGGCATGGTAGCGCGCGCCTGTAATTCCGGCTACTCAGAAGGCTGAGGCGGAAGGATCGCCGGAGCCCAGCAGGTCGAGGCTGCGGTGACTGGGAACGGCCACTGCCCTCCATCTGGGCGACAGAGTGAGACTCCACTCAAAAAAAAAATGTGGGGTAAAATTCAGGGTTAGGTATACAAATGTTCATTATGCAGGTACCCTTGCTGATGAAGTGTGCCCCTCCTTCCCTTAGCAGTTTGCCTCAACTGCCAATCCCACCCCCCTTCCCCTGGCAGTTTCCCACTACTGGCAATCCCTTTCTTATAGTATTGTGATCATTGTTCAAGATCCGCTTATGAGTGAGAACATGTGGTACTCTGTTCTTTGTTTCGGTGATAGATCACTGAGTATGATCGACTCTAAATCCACCCAAGTTGCTGCGGAGTCCATATGTTTGTCCTTTAATGCTTGTTCTCTGTGTATATGTACCACATAGTTTTTATCTAGTCCAGCTTCTATGGGCAGCATGGTTGGTTCCATGTTTTTGCTATTGTGAATACAGCTGCAACAAACATGCATGTGCAGGGATCTTTTTTATAGAATGATTTGAGTTCCTCCGGGTATATTCTCAATAGGGGGATTGCTGGGTCGTATGGAAGGTCAATTTCTAGTTCTTTCAGAAATCGCCACACTGTCTTCCAAAGAGGTTGTACTGGTTTGCATCCCCACCAGCAGTGTAGAAGCTCTCATCACTTTCTAATCTGAGGTTTCCCTTCTTGGCCATTGAGTCTTCCCTCCATGACTGCAGGCCTGCCAGGTGGGTAGGCAGGGCTTGTTAGCCTCGCTTTACAGATGTGGAAACTCAGACATACAAGAAGAACTCTTGGCTGGGCTCGGTGGCTCAGCCTGTAATCCCAGCACTTTGGGAGGCCAAGGCGAGTGGATGGTCTGAGCCTGCGGGTTCGAGACCAACCCGGGCAATCTGGCGAGACCTCGCCTCTACAATGAAATAAAAAATAGCCAGATGTGGTAGCGCGTGTCTGTAGTTCCAGTTACTCAGAAGGCTGGGGTGGAAGGATCGCTGCTGGAATCTAGAAGGTCGACGCTGGGGTGGCTGTGAATGTGTGTACTGCTGCACTCCAGCCTGGGCAAAGGACTAAGACTCCAACTCAACAAAAAAATAAAAAAGAAGAGCGCCTTGCGCAAGGTTACACTACAGTTTCCCACCACCACTGGCTCTTTCATTCATAGAGCTGAGTGACTCTATGTGCCAGGCTCCAGTAGGCCCTGGGGGTGGGTGCAGAGAGTACAGCACAAGCACTGGGGTCTTCATCAGATCTGATGACCTCAGTTCTGTTTTCACAGTTAGGAAAAAGGCGTCTTCAGGTCTGTACATTTGTTGGGATGCTTGGTGATTGGTAGCAGAAAAGCTCCAGCCAGCTTAGGTAAAGCAGTCAACTTGATTCCGGTCCTGAAACCTCTGGAGGCAGCTGAATTTAGGCTGACCACTCAGAGGTGACAGAGCTCTGGTTACTTTTCTGGGGTTCTCTTCACTCTGTACCCTCCCTGCATCACCTCCTAGGGGACTGTTCCATTCCTGTTCAGATTCCTGCCGCTTGCCCAGGAGGGGTTTCTGCCAGAGTCCTGGGCTGTGCTTTGATTGGGTCATCTTAAGTCACAAATCTAGGACCGGGGACACCATGAGCTGATTTAGACCACTTGGGGTCACCTCTTGAGCATCTGCAAAGTGGCAGAGGGGTAGAATACAAGCCAGGAAAGCAACAACAGTGTCACCTCAGTCAAACTGCACTTATCCCCATGGGAGGAGGGTGGTTGCATAGACCAGCTGAAACTTTTCTGGTTAAAGTTGTCACCTGGATTAGGGAGGCTGCAGAGATCTGTCTACACAACTCTGCAGGACTCTGCACCACAAGACTGAGGGGTCATTGTCATAAAACCCTTAGCTGGCCGGGTGCAGTGGCTCAAACCTATAATCCCAGCACTTTGGGAGGCCGAGGTGAGAGGACTGCCTGAGCCCGCGGGTTCGAGACCCGCCTGGGCAACTTGGTGAGGCCTCATCTCTACAA